GCTTTGAGAACAAATACTCATTTACCGTAGAGTTGTGGGTCCAAGGTTCGAAGCATGGGTCTTTGATGAAGTCTCTTGGCCCTGAAGCACTTCTTGTATGCCCTCGAACTTTGCAAAACAGGCAACAGGCAAGTGCCCACTCTTGCATGGCATGTAACGGCCCCTTTTGATGAACTCATGCTTAGTGTATTCTATAGGACATCTAAGCACGACCAACATCTTGATACTCTCGGCATCTCTTGGCCTACCATTCGTTGCTTATCCGGCGAGGCCGGTTGGCGATTTAGCGCCTCGGGTCTACGCTTCACTCGGGTCTCCGCCAGGCAGGAAATTGCACTTTGCACGGGAATAGAAGCAAATATCATGCAAAAGCAGCTTTTCTGGCAGTGGCTCTTTCCCACTGTCCATTCCGATGTCCATGAACCCTCTCTGGTTCGTAATTGAGAGAAAGCGTCTGACGCTGTGTTTCCGGAGGATTGGCCACGCCCTCTGTTGCCGCGCCCTCTGTTTTGTCGATTTCCAGCGGGGCCAAAGCCATGGATGTTTGTTCCCTCCAGTGTCCTTAGCTCCATGCTGTTGATGGATGAAATCTTGCACCACCTAGGCGCCCTAAACCACTGTAATTCCAAGGACGTTAGGGACCTAAGGTGGTGCAAGATATCCTCGATCAACAGTATCTGAACTTGCACATAAACAGAATACATGGTAGTTCCCCTTAAACGGGAACCCCAATATAGACCCAAATACTATAATCCTTGTTAGCGGGACCCGCAAAAAGGTACCCCTAATTTTGGGAATCTCCTACATAGGACTTTGGCTACTGGATCAGGGACGCACTTGGGCCATAGAATCTTTACAGACATTCTGGAGACTCTTCCTCGGGATCACGGAAGGAGAGCCTGAGAGACTCCCAGATTGGGTCGGCAACTTACTGGTTTCTAGTAGGGGATTAGGGAATATTCTCCCTATATATATATATATAAACCTACTAGTTAAACCCTAAGCCCTAAGCTTAATATATTCCCTAATCCCCGCCTTGCCCCCATTAAGACAATAGGAGGAGATCGTCTGTCTCCTGGAATGGTTCGGAGGAAGTCTGCCGGATCTGTTCTGGGGCGCCTTGAGGTCTCAGTTCTCTGCACAACTCAACAAGAGATGCGTTCTAAGCAAACTTTTTGTCCCCCTTAAGTAGATAGAATATGGCTTTGGGTATATTCAAATAAGATCCCCATATACCCCCATATTCTATCTACTTAAGGGGGACTATATCCTGAGGGCAACAGTGACAAGTGTATGCGGTATAGGCGTTCCATACATTGTGCCCCTCATAGATAAGGTCCTTTGGATGCAAGAAACAAACAGCAGCTGCTATGTCCAAGCGCCTCAAGTTGCACCACTACGATACCCCTCGTTTACATGAGCTGTAGTCCAAACTCCCTAAAGGGGTTATATAGAGAATATCACAGGACGTATCAAGGGAGGATACTGGGACTTTCGACTATGGTTTACATGGAGATCAACAAGAAGTACCCTTGGCATATCCAATCCCAGGCCTGAACCTTTAAAGCGATGGGGCGCGTAACATTTCAGCACTGCTTCTGAAGACGATCGAAACTCTCCAGAATATCTACCTCATTGTCTAACCAGAAAGGCCAAGGTGGGTTCTTCTGAAACTGCAAAGGGGCCATACCCCCAAAATACGCACTTCCTCCTGGGAGGCGCTCTCAAAGGGAGTCCCTTAATTTACCTTGCCAGCTCGCCCAGCTCGTTAAAGACCCGCCGCATTTGCCATGGGGGTCGCACTGGTCTGAAACGGGGCTTGAGATAGGGTAGTACCCCCAAGTCTAAGTGAGCAAACTGTCATGCCTGAATATGGCATTACAGTACCATTCCCACCAAAGGTACTGCCCCATGGTTTAAGAAGCTGAGAAGAACTATATCTGAGTAAATCAGGGCGAACAGGCTTCTGAATCTGGGTTGTATCTCCTTCCTAAACCCTAATTAAGCCCTCAAGCCTATATAGGCCCTAAATACCCCCCTGACTTAACCTGCGAAGAAGAATCTGCACGGGTGCACCTTGCGCTCCCCGGCCTCGGCCTCTGCCCTTGGTCACAGAGGAGCCGCGACCTCATTGTAGTATATTAGGGTTATCTTGGGATAATGGAAAATAAAATGGAAACTACTATAATGGGGTTATATAGGGGATAATATTAATATTACTGTTAATATTATTAACATTGATATTAAATCTTCTTTTAGGCAAGGATGTAGCTATGTGGGGGATTGTCAAAATCATGGTCCCTTTTTGGGTCCCTGTGATAATACGGGGCCTAATACGAGGCCTAATTTAGGGGACCCAAAAAGGGACCATAATTTTGACAATCCCCCATGTAAAGGATCTTAATCTGCAGTGGATGAGGGTGGGCTTCTTGGGGGAGAACGCCTAACATTGCCCAAAGCTTCTCCAACCTACCCTCACACTGTGGGATCCTATGAAGCTTATTGTGAGTTAGCTGGCTGCCAGGATCCTTGATGGGGGCCCCCACACCCCCAAAGCCCCAAGCGCACCTTGACCCCGCGTTGCCATAGCAAACGCGACCACGGGGAAGGCAGAATGATACAGCAAAGCGAGGGCTCAGGGCTTAACAGTCTTAACATTCAGCATCGAGGAATGTTGGCTCACATGCTGCTGAATCTTGACCATGGTTGCGGCATGTTCAGCTACACTTGAGGAGTCAAGCTTTAACCGCAGGGTTTTCCTCTACCGAGAGACTTTTCCCGACGACTTCTTCGGGCATCTACTTCTTCATCGTTGGGGTAGTATATGCAGAAGAAAAATTGCCCACAACAGCGGTAGGGCAAAACAACTCAAGGAAAGTTGCCAAACACAGGCCAACGCTTCAGCTCGCTTTGCTGTGTCATGGTGTCAGCAGCGCTTGAAGTCTCCCAAGGTCAGGGTCAAGAAGGAATGCAGATGCTGGACAAGACCCATTCGTCACATTTTGCTCTGGGACTGTTCTACCTCATGGCCCAGGATTTGTTGACTTGAGAAGTACCTGCCGCCTTGTGCTCAAGTTCGCGCCACTGCCTTTTTTTTTGCACGCTGCCAAGGTCTCTGGGCAATTGGAAAAAGTTTGCCAAGTCCTTATTTCTATGTGCCATATGTGACGGGTTGGGCACCCGCGGGTTGGGCAGCTCCATCAGCACCCTTGGCCGGCGTGAAGGTGGCAGGCGTGAAGGCGGCAAGCGGATGGAGAGCAATGTCCCACAATGCCACGGTAGCGCAAAGGATGCTTGCCTCAGAGAACCCTAGAGGGTGTATAGGGACAGTTACTCCTAATATGAACAATGATGGAAAGTAAAACTGCTGTTTGGATGCCAAGAAGGTACTGACTGAGGAAGCCTACTTATTGTGGGTTACAGCAAGGTTCTAATGGGCTTATCAGGGGCATGTTATTGCTACTACGATTGAAACCGTCATTGCTATTATTACCACCAATTCTTACTATGACTATTATTACTATGACTACTACTGCTATTACTATTGTTAATAGGGATAAAATCTATTACCTAACTCTGAGGGATGCTCTCTCACTCTCTCATTTGACGTCATTTTTTGGGGTGTGTTCTTAAAATCAGGGGTCCCTTTTTGGGGGTCACTATAAGTACTATGGTACATTGGGGCCTATATTGGGGGCCCCCTGTTCTCGGAAACTACCATTCTTGTTGCCCATGCTAATGGTCATTGGACAGTTGGTGAGCGCGTTGTCGTTTAAGGTTTCAAGGATGATGCTGACAGAATAGCTTTTGGTGAGTCTGGAATCTTTTTCCACGTAAGAACCCTCCAGCAAGAATCCAATGGCTGTCCTTTATGTATCTCTGATGACCGATAAAAAGGGCGCGTCATATGCGTGTGCGCGAACTCAAGCCAAGAAGCCTGAAGAATAGCCAATATCATGTTGAGGTCTATTTGAAGTACCCTATATCATGATTAAACAGGGGATTTGGATCATGATGTCGTTAGTAGTGGGTCAAGCCTCCGTAGTATGTCTCTCTTCTCTTTATTCTTTTATTCTATCAGGCCATGCAAACATCTTGCGGGGCCCGCGGCTCCCCCGCTGACATTCTATGCAAGCCCGGTTCCCCTCCGTACGACCCAAGCAACAATAAACGACTATAAAATACAATAATATACTATACTGTACTATATTCATGCAGTAGGCATAAGCACAGTCGAACAAGCCTGAGAGAAAGCGCCAGTGGACGACCCTTTTGAAATTTCTTGTTTTCTTCTTGGGCCATGTTCAACGCAGAGCCTAGCACAGGACATGCTAGATTGGATGTATCCCCGCATGAGTACTCGCAGCTGTTTCTCACTTCTGCCTTGAACCCGAAAACAGAGTTCTGATGCCACAGGTAAGTAGGTTATTATATGTCATTATCAAATGAATGCCCATGTAGCTCTCGCATATCCCCTTTGCCTTTATACGCGTCTTGTCAAAACGACAGGCGGGGAGAGGCTAAGCCCTCATAAAGGAGAAACTCGTGAGCTTGCATGATGTGTGCATCAAATCATCCATCACCCTTCCTAAAGAGTGACTATGTCATTGTATTTTTAGGGATTTCAGGTTTAGAGCCCTAAGCCTTAAACATTAAACCCAAACTGTGAGATATTTTGGGGGCTTGCAGATAGGGAGCCCCAATACAGACCCCTATACACACTATAATCCTCGTCTAGGGACCCCCAACAAGGAGCCACGACTTCTTCAACAAAAAAGTGCACAGTGACCATAACAAGGATCCTTCTGGAACACTGGTCTGTGGTTGAGGGCTTAGAGTTTAGGGTTGATCTATCTAGGGTTTCCCAACATTAGGGATACTTTTTGGGGGTCTCCTATCAGGAACAGGGACCTGCAATGCTAGTGGAGCACCCGTGAAGCCTTGAGGAGTGCAATAGATAAGGACATAAGGATGCCACTGATAAATCTGCTTTACCATCCTTACCCTTGGTGGGTAATAATGTCCTCGATTCTAGTGAGATATAGCGTCCATCTCAGATATGATTTATGCTTGGGGTGTGTTCCTAGCAGCATGTTGGAGGGATCAGGCGTCCAAGCTGCACCCCAGGCAACTTGCCGCAACAGCTGCCGCTGCCCATTGTGAAGCCGTTTATGAGAGTCACTGCGAATGACGAAGATTGGCTCAAGCCAATCTAGATAAATTTCCCGGACGGGGCTGTGCTGCGCCTGAGCAGTTACCAAGGTTCTCAAAACAACAACCAATCCCAAATCCTGTGTGAATATGTGCCAAAAATTGGAGGGCTACATACCCCAGCAGAGGATCCTGGAGCATCTCCCCGAAAAGGACCACAAGTGTTGCACATACACGCTTACCCGACAGCTTGATCACGGCTCTGTGCGACCTTGGGGCAGCCACAGCGCAACCGATGACGGCCACTACGGCAATTCGTAAAAGCCACGTGTTGAGATGCGGGTAAGACAACACAATGCAAAGCGCAGTCATCGCATCCAGCGCTAGGCATACCTTAGCCCATCACGCTCTGCTGCAAGCACTTGCGTTGCCACGATTCCCTTGCATCATGAACAGAAGCAATCGCGGCCACGTCAGAGCCGCATAATTTTCTGGGGTCATTGTTTTAAGCTCATCCAAAAATTGTCCGTCTCCTTAGCTTGCCCTTGCAGCCTTCCATACCGCCGCCTCCTCCAAAACTTAACCTCCTCCATTTCCAACCCTTAGCCCTGAATGAATTCCAAACCCTGCACCCTAAACCCTAATCCCAAATAAACAGGCATGCTGCGAGAGTCTCTGCCTTCTCCGGCGGCAGCGGCACATTTGCTGCTTTGGAGGGAGACCGGGCACTGGCAACCACTGCGGCTACGAATGCCTTGGCTTGTCTGCTAAGGGTTTGGGGTGTAGGGCTTTGGGTTTAGGACTTCGGGGACTCCGGAAGTAGTAATATTATGGGTGGACCCTTCACCCAGCAGTGGTGACTAGAAGGGATAATTGTGAGGCTCCTCTTCTATTCTTTTTCTACCACTGTTACAGGGTGGGAGCTCCACCTAGTTGAATTTCTTGTTCTGGCATCGCCAAGGAGAATGAAATCTGGTCCCAGCAGCCATGGACGCCATGGTGTAGACGATATTTTGCCACCAATAGGCATGACCTGGTGCCTGGGTGCAAGGTCTAGATTAGGAGGACCCCTCCAACCTGTAATAGTGAAAGGACAGGAATATAATAGGACCCTGATAATCCTTATTGTCCTTTATAGTCACTATTACAGGGTGGGGGGTCCTCCTAAGGTCTACATGCCAAACAGCTACGCTTCGGCTAATGTTTGAGCTAGGGCAGCTAGGGCTAGGTCAACCTCAACAATGGCAATGTTCAGGATTATGCCAGAGTTTATTCTCAGATGCTTGCGTAACACTATGCGTGTCCTGTTGTGTGGAACCTTTATAGAGTGCTTGAACTTGGGGGCATAAGATTTCTGAACATGGAGGGGGGGGTGCCCGCCCTTAGGGAGATCTTTCGGGAAGACGGAAATTTAGGATATGAATTAGTCTCATCAGCCGCTGCGCTCTGTACCTTGAATGCCCATATTATAATCCCGACAACCCAAGGCCGAACTCTGGATCCTTAAATTTTGACTTGGATTCTGAACCCCAAGGACTTCAACTTGAAATCTTCAGTCGTGAGCTAAAATCTGCCTGAATCCTGAAAGCCTGAATCCTCAGCCCAAGCTGCATCTGCGAGCGAGAGGATGACGCAAAGCTGAGGTCCGTATGCTGCAGCTTCTGCTGCCGCTGCTTCAAAACCTCGGTCGCCATGGAGCTACGCTTTTTTTTGGGCTTGGGCTTAGGATTTGCGATTCCGGGTTCAGTGATTAAGGGTTTACTGATTTGCATGTTGGGTTGGAATGGAGGGTTAAAGGTTATGGGCTTTTGGGGGGTAATGTCTGTGGCGAGGAAGCAGGGACAATGTCGGCCTTTCATGGCTGGCAACGCAACGGAGTTCAGGCTCCGGGGTTCTTTGGGGAGTCATACAGGGTATATAATATACAGGGTTACATAGGGGATATAACGGTTATATAGGGGTTATACAAGGGTTATATTTGGAGAATGGAAAATAAAATGGAAACTGCTTTAGGTACAGAAGACAAGGATACCAGCTGCGGGCCCCTGCGAGCAACCGGCCGATATACAGCCCTCTGCATCTTCAGGATGCAATGCAGCTGATAAGTACAGAGCCCCTCAAGCCTGCATTCAAACATAACAAGTATGAAGCTGCTAATCACAACAACAAAAATGACAACAATAACAAAAACAAGAACAATAGCAAGAATAATAAGAATAATAATGGTAACAATAATTCTCAGAATTACTGCAGCCTAGAGACTGTCTGCTGGGAGAATTTCAGACATAGCGCGGTCCTTGGCTTTGGGAGTATGCCACGCTACCACGCCTTGCAAAGCGAAGCCGGTGTCATAGGACCCCAAACGGGGACCCCTCATAGGGATAGTGCAAGGATAACATATAGATTATATGGCGTCTAGGGCTATATCAAATAATGTAGGGAAAATGTCAGGATGCAATGTTCGGTCTTTTCAGTCTGGTTGGTCCCTCTGAGGGGTCACCTTATGAGGATCCTATGATGGTGGTGCGAGGAAACTTGCAACTGAGCGCCAGGCAACTGACTCACTCAAGCGCCTGCCTGCTAGAACCATGTGCGGTACAGCGAAGCCGATCGCGACGATGGCCAAGCAGGACTCGCAAACGGTGATACCTCGTGACAGCTGGGGCAAGTTGCCAAACTAATCTGAGCTATAGTCTAAACTCCTAGTATCCCCCTTAATATCCCCTATAGTAGTCCCCTATATAATCTCCTATATAAACCCCTTTTAAGGTGTTTAGACCATAGCTGATATGGAAGACTGTCAAGATCATGGTCCCTGTTGGGCGACTTCAGAACGACCCAAATTCAGCACGGCCACCGCCTTTCATAGCTGCCATCGTTGCACATAAAAAGATAATGCTGACGAACAAGCCTGCCAAAAGCTAAGAGGATTTTTGGTAGCTTTGAGCGTGCGCATTTCACGCAGCTTTCGTGCGAGGATGATTCTGGATTTGCCATCTTGGGGATTAATGACTTCGTGTTCCAGGGTTCGGGGATTCCCCTGAGCAAGCCTACGCAGCTGACGGAGTGGGCATGGCCCAGGGCGCTATGAAGGAAGGGCGAGCGGATGAAGCGAAGGATCCTCAGCTCCATAGTGCAAAGGGTTTGAGGCTTGGGGGCTTTTAGGTTCATGAGGGCCTCTGGGCGTAGGTTCGCCTTACGAAGGACTACTTGGCTACCTGCCTTTGTCAGACGCTCATGTAGGAAATCCGAATTCCCAAGACAAAGATCATAGTTTTGGCACGCGAGGGCTTGCACAAGCCTAAAAGACTCCTTCGAGGGTGTCGCCTTTTGGTTAGCCACTGCAAGTCGCGGTTTATTGTTGCTTGGAATGAGGCGGTATTAAACCAGAAAACGCTCGATGATCCATACCCTGCGGATCGTGGCATGCAACGGATGTCTTCGCGCACCGTGTTCCATACCCAAACATATTGGGACACACCCATTCAGGCTTCTACACTTCTTTTACGAGAAGCTCCCTGCCGAATGCTTAGCCGGGGTGCGGTCCCCATTTCAGATCGTCAGATCCTCTTCTCAATGCATGCGAGTAGTTTCCAAGGTAGGGTTCGATTTCTCCACCCCAACATGCAGCATGTCGTGTTGCATTGGATGCCAACCGCGGTCTATCATATTGAGAATAACGCCTATTTGGGGGACCTTGGGTCCACATTCCCTTAGATAGAGCAAGGCTTGCACCACTACTAGATTGTTGAGCAAGGTCGTGACGTCCGGGTACTTCAGCTGTGGGGCCTTAAAAGGGTTCAGGCTTTAGTGCTGGTGCTTTCTGGCGTAGAGCTACTGTAGGTAAGCGTAGTACGAACCTAAAATAGGATACTATGTATATATGTATATATAGAGAGATAAATGAATTTATGTATATGTGTATGTACTATGTATACGAGACGGTAAGACATTACGCATACCTGGTTCTAAGTGGGGTTCTTGCCTACCTAATTATGAGCCACTTGATGATTCAGTCTGTTCACATCCCTAAACCCCAAACCCT